CATTGGTCTAAGAATCTACAGGATCTGTAAGACATCAAGACATAAATTCTTGCCTTAAGCTCTACTTTCTAGAAGATCCATGTGAAGACAGTAATGGGAGAAGAAACTCATAAATGTTCCTTCTGGACAAGTTGCAGAAACAAGGATTCTGATTCCACCCACATTTCTTTCCTAGCTGTGACTAGACAAATAGATAAATAGAGATGGTAGATAGACAGACAGATAGATGTAGATGGATAAAAAGATTATATAGATAAAATAATTTGCCTTTTTTTCTTCTCTATGAATACCTGTTATTGAATACTTGCCATGAATACAATTAATCTATATGTTAAGTTTCTTCTTGTTGAGGATGGGATTGATGTTCTTAGTTTGGGTGACAAATAACTGCAGTACATTATAAGGCATGTGCAAGCATTGGAAGAAAGGACATATTAATTTTGGCTGTGTCTCTGGCTGTGCAGCCTCCCTTGTTCCTGTCCATTTCAGGGTCCATTTTTCTAGCCCTCCCATTGTACTATGAACCACTTAAATTCATTCCAATATGTTTTTTTTTCAATATTAATACCTGAAGTATTTATTTAGTTTGCATTTAAGAGCCCTGAGTGTTGAATCACTGGATCTCCAGATTCCCTTCCAATACTGACATTCATTCAATTGGTTCAGAGGCAGCCATAGTCTATCCCCTTCCACTACAGATGGCATCTCTTCGGAGTCATAATTGCGAGTGGAGGAATTCAACTCAATTCTCTAAGTATTTGCTAAGTGTTCCCCTCTACCAGGCACTACAGAGGAAACAGAGAAAGAACTCTCAAAATGTTTACCATCTCATTGGGAAGATAAGATACACACAGCAAACAATTCACGTGTTATGAAAAGCAATTATCAATGAAGTTACAGATAGAAAATCGCAAGTAGGAAAAAGCACCTGGAGACAAAACAAAGACAATAAGCAGAGCTGCCCATCTATTCCCCGTTTGCCTCATCAAGACTGGGATGTGAAAATTACTGTTCATCTTGAGGAAAACACTTTGGAGATATTATCCCAAAGGACATAGAAAGAGCTAAATGTCTCATGTGAGCCCAGCTCCATGACTCTATTAACTCTGGTGATTAGGGGAAGAGTCCAGCTCTAAAAAGTATGTAAGAGCTGCTCTCAGTTCCCTCCTGCTACCCTGTTAAGGAAAACCACTCTGTCTAGATTCCAGTAGCTTTCTGAGATTTTACCATCATTCAGAGGTGAGCCTTTTCAGAATTTAGTACTGGTCTTAACCAGGTAGGCAGCCACCTCGGGGACTCAAGAACAATCTGTGCAGGACTGCTGGTGGGTGGGAGAGGCAGAACAGGAAGGCAAGATTAGAGACTGTCACTCAGAAACATACAATTCCCCTTGCTCATCAAGCCCCAACCAGCCCACGGCTTGGTAACCACAGAACCCCCATACAGCCAGTCTGTACTGTAGGTAGAGGTACCCGCCAGTTCTTTATTCATTTTAGTTTTGCCGTGGAGTCTCCCTTTTGCATGCGTGTCTCCCTCGTTCTGATTTGTAAGCCAGGTTCTCAGGAGCAGAGACCTCAGACCTTCTGCTTCAGTTTCCACCGCCCTTCAGTTTTCCAGAATCCCAGAGGTGGAGATGTACTGTTTTCTGGCCTTCTCGTAAAAAGAAAACCTTTGAAAGACAAATGATTTTGGCGAAAGGCAGAAAAGAGATGGCAAAACAGTGAGAGGGAGAACATATTAGGGATTAGAAAAACAGGGAACAACAAACACCTCCTGGCTCCCAAGCTAATGTCCTTTCCAATAAGTCATGAGAAAACTGTATTTGTTCCAATCTTCCTTCCCTGTTCCTGGCGACACCTTGTGTGGTCTCTATCGATTCTTGGTCACTTATGGTTTTAAAAGTAAGTTTTAGGGCCAGCCCGGTGGTGCACTGGATAGTGCGTCGCTTGGGAAGCATGGCAGCACTCCCGCCCGAGGGTTCGGATCCCACATACAGACCGGCTCCCGCTCACTGGCT